TAAAATGAAAATGAAATGAAATGAAATGAGTCCTTCGGGAGAAGGGCGGTATAGAAATTCAATAAATAAATAAATAAAAATAAATAAATAAATAAATAAATAAATAAATAAATAAATAAATAAACTGCCTATGTCTCTGCTTGGACTAACACATCTATTAGGGCCTATCAGTTGGTGTCTCCATTTTGGAATAAGCTGTCAACGGGTGGTGATCGATGCTTTCATGTAAAAATGGAGAGCTGTGACATAGGCGTCAAATCAAGACTTCAGCTTTCCTAGGTGATAACTCAAAATGTCAGAACTAGAGACAGGAAGCAAGGAGGGTGTTTTAAAATAAGAATCGAAGAAGGGAAAAGCATGCCAAAAGGGGGGGGAAAAGGCCAATGACTCATCCCACCTGTTGAGCACAGCAGCAAATTGTGAGGTGTCTGGTCTTCAAGGAAAGCCAGCATTTGACACACATTTGGGAGCACCTGTTGAGGTTTAGATTCATTCAAGAGTCTGAATTACAATGAGGTGTAATGCTTGGAAGGCCGCTTTAAATCCACTGGTGTGCAGTACAAGTTGGTTAAATGTATTCTTTTATTGATTAAACATGTCCGCCACCCATTTCGCCTAGAGCTGACTCTACATGGCTTATATTTATTTATTTAGCATACGGCACTTCATACATGGATTTGCAATATATATATTAACATTTCACCTAGATTTCAAAAGAAGCACATTTTTAAAAAAATATTCTAAAACAAATCCAAGAGTTAAACATTTGGTTCAGCTCCTGTCCCTTAGCTCCTGCCTACCTAACAATTCAAAAGCATGCCATCTGCAAATAGATAAATAGGTACCACCATTTTGGTGATGGCAAAAGCTAGCTGAATTCTGTGTAGGGAGCAGGAGACGGTGCTGGACCTGTTGGCAGAGGTGGGTTTCAGCAGGTTCTGACCAGTTCTGGAGAACCGGTAGTGGAAATTTTGAGTAGTTCGGAGAACCGGTAGTAAAAATTCTGACTGGCCCCGCCACCATCTATTCTCTGCCTCCCAAGTCCCAGCTGATAGGGAGGAAGTGGGGATTTTGCAGTATCCTTCCCCTGGAGTGGGATGGGAATGGAGATTTTACAGTATTCTTCCCCTGCCACGCCCACCAAGCCATGCCATGCCCACCAAGCCACACCCATAGAACCGGTAGTAAAAAAATTTGAAACCCAGCACTGCCTGTTGGAATGTAATTGGTGAAAAAGAAATGGAGGAATATTGCTGGCCAGCTTGTGCTTAAAACTATTTCACCCACCTGTGGTGCACCAATGCAAAAAAAAAGGACTAGAAATTTTCGGCTGTCAAAACATCTATGATGTGTAAACATTGTAGATTTCCAGGTCCTGTATACCATATGCTAAATAAATAAATAAGTCAATTGTCATCACCAGAATACCTTTCGCCTTGTCCAAAGATTAGAGTGACCCAATGTGTTGAGCAGACGTGGGTTCTACTTACTTTTACCACCGGTTCGCAATGGGATCATGCACGCATGCACAGATCGCTGATGATGACATCGGGGGGCGGGGGGCGGGGCCTCCCGTCGATTTTACTACCAGTTCTTGCGAACCGGTCCAAACCGGGAGCAACCCACCACTGGCGTTGGGTCGATAGTGGACAATCACTTAAATATGAGCCAGCAGTGTGCTGCAGCTGCCTGTTGTGGCTCCGTTACCTGAGCCTGTGTCTTCGGCAGGAGAAGACTCCGATAGTGAAGGAGAGGAGTTGGCAAGGCCTCCCTCTCCAGGACCTCCTCTCTGGCAATGCCTTCAGTGTCCGCCAAAGGGCAAGAGATAGGGCCGGGGCCAAGCACGTCCACGCAGCCACAGATGGACAGTGATGAGGGTAATGAGTCTTGGTTGGATCCACGCCAGCGTCGCAGAGATAAGCACGTGCAACAGAAGAAAAGGCATGCCCGAGATTAGGCTGAGTCACTGGACCACACCCCACAGGATATAAAAGAGAGTGTGGTGGCCAGTCAAACCTTGTGACAAACAAAGCTGAAAGCTTCCACACCATTCTGCATTGCTGGACTTTTGCTATAGACTTTGCTGGATTATCTCTGGACTTGATTGACTCTAATTATTGAGCTGTTTCTTTTGATGTACCAGAAGTGGGGAGAAGTTATCTCTCCTCTTCGTAAGTAATAAACTCTTGGCAGGCAGCCACTAGGTTATTGCCAAGTTCCGTTGTCATAAGGAAAAGGATTTTGCCGGCTGGTTTGGTCTTTAACTCTTGAACGTCTGTTGGTGTGTGTGCGTGTGTGACGGGGACAGAACACTGCCAAAAAAGCCAATGCAGTCGTAGGCTGCATTAAGAGAGGGATACAATCAAGATCACGTGAAGTGTTAATTCCACTTTATAATGCCTTCATAAGGCCACGCTTGGAACACGTCATCCAGTTTTGTTGGCCACAGTATAAAAAAGATGTTGAGACTCTGGAAAGAGTGCAGAGAAGAGCAACAAAGATGATTAGGGGACTGGGGGCTAAAATATATGAAAAACAGTTGCAGGAATTGGGTACGTCTACTTTAATAAAAAGAAGGACTGGGGTGACATGATAGCAGCCTTCCAATATTTGAGGGGCTGCCACAAAGAAGAGGGGGGGGGCAACCAGTTCTCCAAAGCACCTGAAGACAGGACAAGAAGCAAAGGATGGAAACTAATCAAGGAGAGACGCAACCTAGAACTAAGGAGAAATTTCCTGACAGAACAATTCATCAGTGGAACGACTTGCCTCCAGAAGTTGTGAATGCTCCAACACTGGAAGTTTTTAAGAAGAGATGGGACACCTATTTATCTGAAATGGCCTAGGGTTTCCTGCCTGAGCACAGGGTTGGACCAGAAGACCCCCAAGGTCCCTTCCAACTCTGTTATTCTGGGGTTTTTTTTTTTCCAACGTTACCTTGGAACCCTCTATACACATTTTGACTCGGGGTGACCTATTTGCGCCTTCCTTTTTTTGCAAAGAAGAAAAGCAATGGGCAAACATTGTGCCAAGAGGGTGTAGGAAGTTAGCACCCAACCCTCTCCTAGGAAAATAAGATATTTTAGGAAATATTAAAAGGGCAGAATATTTCCCCTAAAAGGGAGACAGAAACTCAGTCCCACCATCTTTGTCAATGGGCCATTATGGCTTGGACCAGTCCATTCTACATAATAAAAGATCTACCTCCTTCAGGCAGAGCCATAGTAGGATTTGCCCAAAGCCCCTTCATTACATCATCACCCAGCAAGGCTCAACCAAGCCTGGGACCCAGACAACCTACAAAGTTACCCCTGCATGGCCCCATGGGAGTCTGACAACCAATCAGAACACAAGCTCAAATTCAAAAGCCCAACAGAGGGCATAAAACCCAGGCACATCTCTGCCCCTTGTTGTCCAGGACCTCAAACCATGTGGTCCCGTCCACCATTAAAAACCATCTTTCCAAACAGCCACCGTGTTTCCAGTGTCTTTCTCCCCGCTTGGAACTGAACCCAGAAGGATATTTCTTCCAACAAGGGTTATTTTTAAACTTTGGAGGAGGAAGGAAAAACAGGCTACCTTCTCTCTCCCCCCAAATCTGTGTTCTCCCAGCAGGAAGTTGTGACTATTGTAGAGGTGAAGTCATTTTTTTCCCCCTTTGTCCTGTGAAGAAATGCACAAATTAATGCCTGCGTACGCGTTGCAGCCATCAAAAAGACTCTTCCCCCCCGCCGCCGCCAAAGGGGCTAAATATATTTTTTAAAAAACCCCAGCTGGTCTCTTAGCAGCAAGGCCTCACCGCAAATTTCTGCTGTCCTCCCTCTTCCCCCCCCCACACTCTCTTCGCCCCACGCAAGACAGACTTAGCGCTGCATTTTTGGCCTTGGAGAACAACTGGGTTAATTGCACGGTGCCAGACGGTAGGTGCGTTGGTGCTAAAAAAATTTTAAGAGGCACATCAGCGCAGCTCTTTGAAGCATAAAAAGGGGGCTGATTAACCAGCCATGTGGAGTGGCAGCAACAGATTGCAACTCCGACTGTTCACTTCGGTTGCAGGAACTTTGGCTTTGACAGGGAGGACAATGGCGGGGGTGGTTCCCAGCTATACTTGGACCAAGAGGCGAGAGAGAGAGAGAGAGAGAGAGAGAGAGAGAGAGAGAGAGAGAGAGAGAGAGAGAGAGTGAGTAGGGGGGCTATATACTATACTATACCACATCCCAGCACTCTTGGTATATATTCCCATGATCCCTTTCTTGGCTTGCTTGTTAAGAAGGTTGCAAGAGGGAAGGGTGAGTTTGCCCTGTAGCTGGGAAATAAACTGAAATAATTGAATTCTCTTTTTTTTTTTTAAAAAAAAAAAAGGAAAAAAACCCCACCTTTCGAGCAGAAGGCTGCAACTTTTTAACAGAATGACAGATTCGGAAGGGACCTTGGAGGTCTTCTAGTCCAACCCCCTGCTCAAGCAGGAGTCCTTATACCATTTCAGACAAGTGGCTGTCTAGTCTCATCTTAAAGGCCTCCAGTGATGGAACACCCAAAACTTCTGAAGGCAAGTTGTTCCATTGGTTGATTGTTCTCACTGTCAGGAAGTTCCTTTTTGGTTCTAGGTTGCTTCTCTCCTTGGTGAATTTCCTATCCATTGCTTCTTGTTCTGCCTTGCGTGTATACTGAGAGCTTCTGCAGCAGAGACATATTTTTTGTGTTTCTAATCACACTTGGTGAAACAAGTTCTATTCTATTCTATTCTATTCTATTCTATTCTATTCTATTCTATTCTATTCTATTCTATTCTATTCTATTCTATTCCATCCCATCCCATCCCATCCCATCCCATCCCATCCCATCCCATCCCATCCCATCCCACTCCTTTCTTTATTCTCCTCTCCTCTCCTCTCCTCTCCTCTCCTCTCCTCTCCTCTCTTCTTTTCTATCATATCCTATCCTATCCCCTTCCCTCCCCTCCCATTCCATTCCATTCCATTCCATTCCATTCTTTATTACCTTCTCCTCTCCTCTCCTCTCTTCCTTTCCATTGTATCATATCCTATCATATCTCCTCCCCTCCCCTTCCCTCCCATTTCATTTCATTTCATTCTTTATTCCCTTCTTCTCCCGTCCTGTCCCATCCCATCCCATCCCATCCCATCCCATCCCATCCCATCCCACTCCACTCCACTCCACTCCACTCCACTCCATTCCCTTCCATTCCATTCCATTCCATTCCATTCCATTCTATTCTATTCTATTCTATTCTATTCTATCTAAGACCTGTAGATAGAAGCTATACTATTTTTGCATTTTGGGGCCCCTTCTAAAACTTCCAAAATCATCCAACCCTAGTTGAGGATTTCAGCATTACAAAAACCCGAGAAGCCAAGTCCAGGGACCCCGTGAAAGGAGGCAGCGTGCGTTTGTCAGAAGCCAACACTGTGTCGGTTCTGCCTTAGCAGAGCAGGTAAGGCACCGAAAAAGAGGGGCAGAGATCCTGCCCAAGGTAGCAATCAGGCAATTTGATTAGAATGAGTATTAAGGTAACAGGAAGATGGTTTGATTAACTTAATAAGCCCTGGAAGAGCATGCTAGCTACCCGTTAATTATCAAGTATTTTGTAAGCATTGTGATTCTAAAATTCTACATTCCGGTTTTGGGATAGAAAAGGAGGAGAAAAGCCTTTTCAAACCGTGGCATTCCTGCTGCTGTAAGTATATTATTCCAAGGTTAATTGATCCCCCGCTGCTCAAGATATTTAAATATAATAGGGACAAGAGACGCTATGGGCAACAAATATTAATGGATTATTTTAACAGAAGAGAAGTCTGTTTTGGACTAAGCTCACAGTACGAGCTTGGGTTGCCTTTTAATCATGGTTAGGGTTTAATTCAAACATTGTTCTTTTCATTTGGTTGTCTTTTGCAGTTACAATCTTTCTAGAGAGGAAACGTTTGCATTCGGTTCGGCCGTATAAATGCAGTAAATAAGCTCCGGTGTGTAAGCGTTTTTCAATGTTGCTTGGAGTTTAGAAATGCTTTATTTAAAGGTTTATAGAAGGGAAAGGTTCCCCTCGCACATATGTGCTAGTCGTTCCCGACTCTAGGGGGCAGTGCACATCTCTGTTTCAAAGCTGAAGAGCCAGCGCTGTCCGATGACGTCTCCGTGGTCATGTGGCCGGCATGACTCAACGCCAAAGGTGCACGGAACACTGTTACCTTCCCACCACAGGTGGTCCCTATTTTTCTACTTGCATTTTTTACCTGCTTTCGAACTGCTAGGTTGGCAGAAGCTGGGACAAGTCACAGGAGCTCACCCCATGACGCGGCACTAGGGATTTGAACCGCTGAACTGCCGACCTTTCAATTGACAAGCTCAGCATCTTACCCACTGAGCCACCGCATCCCTTAAAGGTTTATATGTCGCCTTTAAAAAGAAGTGTTTCCTAAGATTGACACAAGGCAATTGTTTATGCCGAGGGTGTCAAACTTGATTTCTCATTGAGGGCCGCATGAGGGTTGTGTTTTACCTTAGGAGGCCAGGATGGGCATGGCCAGCATGACGTCACTCGTGTCAGGGGCACCTGTGGTGGCCCAAATGCTCTACCAGCGAAACCAGGCTCCCGAGCTCCATTTTCGGCTGGGTATCCTGCAACCCTCTGCCAGTGAAAACGGAGCTCGGGAGGGACGCATGCAGCCATCCCAAACTCTGTTTTTGCTGGTAGAGGCACTACAGGCTGGTCCTTTGCTGTTTCCAGAGTGGCCTCGTGGGCCAGATCTAAGCACCCTGTGGGTCACATCCGGCTCCCATTCCTTGAGTTTGACACCCCTGGTTTATGCAATCTCTAAATACTCCTGTGATTCACTAAAGAGAAAATTATCTCTTGGGTTCCCCCTCCCCCAATACAGGAGACTTATGACCACAACTGAGCCCCAAATTTATCTTGCTAAGCGAGACAGTTTCTTAAGTGACTTTTGCCCCATTTTACGACCTTTCTCATTGCTAAGTGAATCGTTGCAGTTGTTAAGTGAGTAACACGGTGGTTGAGTGAATCAGGCTTCCCCATTGATTTTGCTTGTTGGAAGGTCGCAAAAGGGGATCGCGGGACACTGCAACCATCATAAATACACACCAGTTGTTGAGCGTATGAATTTTGACCCCGTGACCATGGGGATGCTGCAACAGTTGTAAGTGTGAAAAACGGTCACAAGTCACTTTTTCCCGTGCCTTTGTAACTTTGAACGGTCACTAAATGAACTGTTGTAAGTCGAGGACTACCTGTACTTAGTCAGTTGATTGCATTATTCCCATATTAGTAGGTTGCAATCCTCTGAAGGATGGCTTTTATTGGATTCTGTCAGGCACGAGGAATTGGGACCACACATTAAGTCCAATTAAGATGATGTATGGCTCATGCCTAGACACCAGAATCTGGTCGACTAACTGTCAGCACTAAATTGGCAGTAGATAATAGTCAAAGGAATGAAAAGGGTTTGTCAGCTGCCACCTTACGTTTGCTTGTGTGCTTCGCTACCATGTGGTGACAGTCTGCTTTAAACTCCGGGGAACGTGGACGGGAGGGCGAAATGCTTGGGGGAAAGCGAAAGTAACTGCTGTATTTCCCTGAGACGCTGCTTCAAGATCAACCGGCTGGGAGAAGAAGGCAGCTGCATACCAACCTATGCTTGGAGTGACCATTCTGAAAACATCTTGCTTGAACCTGATTGTCACGGGTGGGTCAGCAATGGGAAGCAATTAAAGGAGGGGAAAAATTGAACTTAGAGATTTTGGCATGCGCGATTCTCAGTTCTGGCTGTGCATTACTGCAGTACACTTGACTTCTAATAAAATTATACCTTTAGACTTAGACTTAGAATAAGTTTATTGTCACTTTGAATGTACTGTACATTAATCGGCATACATTAAAATGAAATTTTGTTGCATATAGCTCTCAAAGGATCTCCACCTCTAATATACACTAGATAAACATGACTAAATAAATACATAAATAAATAAATACCAAATTATGCATATACCCCGATATATTATATGACATGGAGAAACAACACTGTCTAATCTGTACATGGCGCGAGAAACAACCAATGGAGCCAAGGATCATTTCTATTTAGAGCTTTAAGTGCTAGCAAGTCTGACAAGGTTGACCTTAGACTGTTTTGTGGGAACTCTAGGCTGATGACTCACTTGTCTCCACCTCCCAGATTCTTCCTGCTGTTCCCCTACAAATTCCAAATGATTGTTTGAATTGATGTTCTATTATAGAGAGACACCAGTCGACTTAGAATTATGCCACCTACGATATTTTAATCTACACATATCCAGAAACTTTTTTTAAAAAAAAGTTTGATCAAACTTTTCTGGTGTTCTTTCCTATTTGTTTTCTTTTCTGTTATAAAAGCATAATTACGACGTGCCAAAGGAAATGTGCAAAGGCAGATATAAATATTTCTATATCTTTCTTCTGGTCCCTCCTCCATGAATGCTCTCGGCATTAGAAAAAAAAATGCTTTTCTATTGTTATTGCTTCCTATCCACCTGAAGAGCAGTTTTGAAAAATCAAATTAAATTGCCAGTTCACCTTTTGGTTTGTCTTAAATACTGTTTCCAGAGTGGTAATTTCATTTTGAATAGATTAATGGGTACTTCAGAAATAGTTTTGCTCGAAGTGCTTGGTAAGATTTTTTGGGGGGGGGGTGTCAAACGGACGAGATGAACAATTGGAGTTTGGACTGAGAAGATAAACTAGGACAGCCAACCAATTTCCAAACATGTTTGATCTTTGGAAAATATTCTTCAGGTCATGGATGGAGAAGAAGAGGGAGGGGGAAAGGGAAAGGGAGGGGGAGGGAGAGAGGGAGAGGGAGGGGAAATGGAGTGGGGGGGGGCTTTGAAGTGATGCTTCTGCTATAATGTTTTGGAAACAACTTGTGAAAATTCAAACCTGTCAGGCTAAAATCCAGACCAAAAGATGACAATCCTGTGGATAGAATATCTTGTGTTAAAACCTGTTGTGAAATCCTGTAAAAGCAGTATTTCTCACACTCCCTAAATTCCCCAGCCAGCCTGAAGATATGAAATCCCCATATCTTAAAAGTTGCCAATTTTATTTATTTATTTATTGGTTCGATTTATATGCCGCCCTTCTCCGGAGACTCAGGGCGGCTTACAATGCGTTAAGCAATAGCCTTCATACTTTTGAAGATGTTTCACTTCTCATCCAAGGAGCTTCTTCAGCTCTGACAGGATCCATTCCCCACTTATCCCAAAGGTGCTTTTTCAGGAGGCAACTAGAAACATCTTCAAAAGAAAAAAAATAAGAAAGTCCAGTTGCCTCCTGAAAAAGCACCTTTGGGACAACCACGACCTGGATGACGGAGAATCTCTACAGACTTTTATCTATACAATTTGGGATGGATGCCCTTGGAATTGTGTGGGAGTACGAATGGATTTCCAGACGGAAAAAAATTGCAGACTGCAGGAACCAGGAGAAAAAACAACAGCTACCAACCTGCCTTCCATTGAGGACCTGTATACTGCATGAGTCAAAAAGAGGGCTGTGAAAATATTTACAGACCTCTCACATCCTGGACATAAACTGTTTCAACTCCTACCCTCAAAACGACGCTATAGAGCACTGCACACCAGAACAACTAGACACAAGGACAGTTTTTTCCCAAACGCCATCACTCTGCTTAACAAATGATTCCCTCAACACTGTCAAACTATTCACTAAGTCTGCATTACTATTAAATCTTCTCATCTTTCCTATCACCCATCTCCTCCCACTTATGACTGTATGACTGTAACCTTGTTGCTGGTATCCTTATGATTTATATTGACTGTTTCTCTATGACTATCATTAAGTGTTGTACCTTATGATTCTTGACGAATGTATCTTTTCTTTTATGTACACTGAGAGCGTATGCACCAAGACAAATTCCTTGTGTGTCCAATCACACTTGGCCAATAAAGAATTCTATTCTATTCTTCTATTCTATTCTATTCTATTCTATTCTATTCTATTCTATTCTATTCCATTCCATTCCATTCCATTCCATTCCATTCCATTCTATTTCATTCTATTCTATGCGTAAAATAGCACACACTCTGCTAGAGAGAAATTCCCTGTGGATGGGATCCAGTGCAAATCCAAAAATTCAGAAGACTAAATCTCTGGTCCCAGTAACTGACCCAGGTTGGATCCTAAGAGAAGAATATTTCACGAAACATGACCAGATAAATCATTCTAATTTATTGTAAAGCTCCATTTACAAAATCTCACCAAGTCTGAAGAGCAAAATTTCCCCACTGTCTTGAATAGCACCCAGGAAGCTTCGGGGTATCTTTTACTCTTCTGATTCCTCACAAAGGATTTGAAGGCGCAGGTTAATTTAAGGGGGAAGGAGATAGCAGCAACGTGTTTCAGAAACCTCCTTTTGTAGCCCTTTT